TTGGTTGTTTTCGGTATTTACCTTGAAAATAAGTTATATAATTTTTAAATTAGTATGTAGTGTTCTGTAGACTAAATAAATGTGTCCTTTCAAAATTCATATGTTGAAACCTAATCCTCAATGTGAGGGTACTTGGAGGTAGGTAATTTTGAAGGTGATTAGATCATGAGGGTCATCCCCTCATGAATGGAATAGTTCTCTTATGAAAGAGGCCCCAGAGAGATCCTTTCCTCTTGGCCACGTGAAGACAGAATAAAAAGATGTCCATCTATGAACTAGGAAGCAGGCTCTCACTAGATGTTAAATATGCTGGTACCTTGATCTTGGACTTTCCAGACCACAGGCGTGTGAAAAATAAATTTCTGTTATTTATAAGCTATTCAGCCTATGAAGTTTGTTATAGCAGCCCAGACAAAGACACAGTGTGAAAGAAATAGAGGAGACAGAGTTGACATCAGAGTTGATGTTGAAGGTGGAGCAGATTTAGAGATGAGAAAACATATAAGGAACATATAAATACCTTACCTTTTAGGTGCTGTCATATGTATGCGATTTACAAGAACCCCAGTCAGACCTTCTTCCACATTGCAGAATCAGATTCTTATATGACTTTCCATGTTTTGATATAATAATTTAAATAGATACACCATAAGATCATTGCTCCACTCTTGAAGCTAGGTGCCCAAGAGTCCCATTTGTATTTTGTAATTCACATTTTCCCAGTCCCACTTTCTGTGTTTATTCACTGCCTTATATTATTTTTGTGTGATTTCCTTATCAAAAATACCCATATCTATCCTCTGTTGATATAAAAAGGTTAGATCACATAATTGGAGTTAGTTCATATTGCTTAAATAAATAAATCAAAATATTTTCAATAAAATTCTTGATACATTAATATTATTTTAAAATTTCTATTTGGTTGGACAGATTATCATTTCGTTTTTGTGGTTTCTTTTTCTCAGTATAACACGAACTTGTTATGAGTCTTTGTCTTTTACATTTATTGAGTGTAATTGTGTTTTATAACTGATACGTATGTCTTGTAAATGAAATATATACTATTGTGTCTATCATTTGATTTTCTTTAAATATTTTCCAAGTTTATTATGTTATTTACCAAGGAATATTTTATTATTATAGCTATATAGCAGGTGTATATATTTATGGGTTACATGAGGTATTTTGATACAGGCATGCAATGTATAATCACATTAGGGTAAATGGGGTATCTATCACTTACAGCACTTATTCTTTGTGTTATAAACAATCTAGTTATACTCTTTTAGTTCTTTTAAAATGTACAATTAAATTATTTTTTGACTGTAATCACCCTATTGTGCTAGTAAATACTTAGTACTATTCATTCTTTCTGTTTTTTGCACTCATTAGCCATACCCACTTTCCTGCACACCTGACCACTACCCTTTCCAGCCACTGGTAATCATCCTTCTACTCTGTATATCCATTATTTCTATTATTTTAATTTTAGCTCCCATAAATAATTGAAAACTTGTTATGTTTATCTTTTTGTACCTGGCTTATTTCACTTAACATAATTACCTCAAGTTTCACTCAGCTCTTGTTGCAAATGACAGGAACTCATTCTTTCTTGTGGCTGAATAAGTAATCTGTTGTGCATATGTATCACATTTTCTTTATTCATTCACCTGATAAACACAGGCTGCTTACCAATCTTGCCTACTGTGAATAGTGCTGCAGTAAACATGGGAGTACAGATATCTCTTTGATATACTGATTTCCTTTCTTTTGGGTATACACCTAGTAGTGAGATTGCTGAATTGTATGGTAGCTGTATTTTTAGGTTTTTGAGGAATGTCTAAACTGTTTTCCATAGTGGTTGTACTAATTTACACTCCCAAGAACAGTACACAAGGGTTCTCTTTTCTCCACATCCTTGCCAGTATTAGTTACTGCCTGGATTTTGGATAAAAGCCATTTTGACTAGAGTGAGATAATATCTCATTGTAAATTTGATTTGCATTTCTCTGATGATCAAAAGTGATAAGAAAATAGAAAATTGAGCTTGTTTCAACTAATGTAACTTTCATTATAAAAAAATTTCAAACGGATACAAATGAAGAGAATGATATAATCACCAGCTCACCTCTCCCAGGTACCAAAGACCTAGATTAAACAGCTATCCACATTTGCCTTTCAGATTTCATCTACCCCATCCTCCTTTTTTTTCTTTTCTGGAATATTTAAAACCACATCCCAGACATCACTTTATTTCATCTGAAAACACTTCAGTTAAAAACTCTAGGCCGGGAACAGTGGCTCATGCCGGTAATCCCACCATTTGAGAGGCCAAGGCTGGTAGATCACTTGGGGTCAGGGGTTCAAGACCAACCCAGTCAGCATGGTATAACCCCATCTCTACTAAAAATACAAAATATTAGCCAGGTGTGGTGGCAGGCACTTGCTTTCCCACCTACTGTGGAAGCTGAGGCAGGAGAATCACTTGAACCCAGGAGGTGGAGGTTGTGGTGAGCTGAGACTGTGTCACTGCACTCCAGGTTGGGCAAAAAAGCGAGACTCTGTCTCAAAATGAACAAACACCTCAGACAGATATGACTTAAAAGGAATAGCCACAAGACTGCTATCACTTTTAATACATTAAAAATAATTTATCAGTATTTTCTAGCATCCAGCTCACATTCAGTTTTTTTCATTTGCCTCAAAAATGTCTTTTTGCTGTTGGTTCATTTGAATCAAGATCAAAACAAAGTTTTCAATTGTTAGTAGGTCTTTAAAGTCTTCTTGAAGCTATAACATAAATATGACTTTAAATATGTATGTTACTAAAAATTATACTCTGCCTGTTTTTAACAATGGCTCTAGTGAGATGTAATGCACTTAATGTCGCAGGCTGAAAAATGATACTTCTTCTCCCCAAGACAACAGACCCAAGTCCCTGAGACAAGTACAAAAAGGCAAGAAATCTAATCAGTAAAAGAGGAAGCTTAAAGATGTCTAGCAAATGTTTTATCTAGATTGAATCAAAGTCTTTTGCAACAATTGCTTAAAAATACCTTTTCTTCTTATTGTATATCTCATGTATTGAAATTAGACAATATGTTGTTTTAAAATTCCATCTTTTCTGAGACAAAAGATTTCTAGATTGAGAATGTACTTAATGGTCTGTCAAAATATAATTATGTCGTGTCTGATCCTCAGCAAACTAAAATATTCTTAAAGTTTTCATAACAATAAATAGTATTTTTTTCTGTAATTTAAAAATTATGCTTGAATGTACTAATTTATTTTTTAAGATTTTAAAATTAATTTTAACTAAAGTCATTTAAATATCTCCACTTCTGTTTTAGTGTCCTTTCTTTGGACCACTCTGATTCACTTTAGAGCCCCTTGATCATTGTTAATTTTAAATATGTTAAGTCTCTGATATCTCTGTTTCAACAACAACAAAAAGAAAAATTATGCTTGAAGACAGTTATTGTCAAACTACTATATGATTTTATGGTTTAAAACTGATAAATGAACACATGAAAACATTGACTAAAGAATGCTTATAACTAATAAGAAACTTGGATTATAAGACCCTGGAGGTGTTATTAAAATGAATATCTTTTAAATTTTTAAATAAGTTGCTGTGGTAGCATTTTCGTGATAGCGTATTTGGTTTAACCATTTTAACATCTCTATTCAGCAGTTTTAATCCTTATTTCAGTTAAATATGTAAACACAAATTTCTGCAAAATGTGTATAGTTTTGGATTTTTCTGTCAAGTACTTAAAATTTTTTTTGTAAATTTGACTTTACATAATGCAGGTAAGATATACTTATAACTAGCTGTTAGGAAATAGTATAGTAGAAAAGATGGATGAATATAACTTTTAAACTAAAACTGATTAATTGTAAAGCTAGCAGGGAAAACCAGTCTTGATCATGCTGTCACCTAATTTTACTTCTCAATTTGCCGATTAATTTGAACTCCAAATAATGTAGTGCAAAATGAAAACTGAAAATAAAAATTCTCAAATTATTTAGAACAATAATTTTATCTTCATTCTCTGCATTGCTTATATGGTTTTGTTTCCACATACAACCTGAGACTAGAAGTTAGCCTGTTGAAATTCCATGTGATAATTAATCATGCTTAAATTGGTAGCAAAAAGATAATTTTGGAAAATTCGTGTTTAGCACATGCATTAAAGGCTAAAATCATAATGAGTGATAACCAAAAATGAGACCCGACTAATTTTTCCTTTTCTACTTACCTTGCTTTATTGCCTTACATCCTATACACATTATACATATTTTTTAATTGTTCGCCACTAAATTATAACTTCCATGGAAACTGGGTATTTGCTTTGCTTCCTTTTCTATTCCCAGTGACAAAACAGTGCCTAGAATATGATTTTTAAAAACTCACATATTTGAAATGTTAGGTATCAAGTTGTGAGTTAATATACTATTTTATCCTTAAACAATTAAATTATTTCCTATAGATGTGGATTTATCCTTTTGTCTAGCACTTTAAAAGTGATATGTCTAAATTTTGTATAAACTTGGCTTAAGAATAGAGGAATAGATAAAAGTGTTAAATATTGGGAGACGACCTGCTTAGTGTTTCTTAAACCCAGCTCCAATAGCTTCACCTGCCCCCCTATGTTTTTTTTACTTCTGTCTCAAAATCTATCCTATTGTATGGGACAATTTGCAAACATTGAAGCTAGGTTGCCTTTTTGGTTCTGGCTGACATACCTTCTCTTTCCTACAGTTTTTTCCTTCTCTCTCTCTCTCTCTCTCTCTCTCTATCTTTCTCTCTCTCTCTTGCTTCTGTATTCCCATAGGTATGCTAATCTGTTTTTCCATTCACAGATTTCTGATCTCATTTCTATTTCACAGAAATAGACATGGCTCTTCCATCAATGGCAAAGTCCAGGTCATTTAATCATTACCTATTACTTGTTTGTTTTAACCTATCCATTAACTTGGGAATCACAAAAGTAACAATGTTAACTTTGTAAGCACATATACTAAAACTGAAGCGATACAGTGAATATTAGAATATCCCCTATGCAAGGATGACAAATTTGTGACACATTTTCTATTTTTCAAATAAGCCTATAAAAAGGTGTTAAACACTATACATCATTAAAGAACTGCAGATTAAAGGAGAGAATCACTGCACACTCATTAAAGTAACATCCAAAACACTAACAAAACTAAATGCTGACAAACGTGGAAAAACAGTGCATGATATGGAAGATTTCTCTCATTACTGGTGGGAACCTAAGTGGTACAGCACTTTTGGAAGACATTTTGATCATTTCTTTTTTTTTTTTCTTTTTTTCTTTTCTTTTTTTTTTTTTTTGAGATGGAGTTTCGCTCTTGTTACCCAGGCTGGAGTGCAATGGCGCGATCTCGGCTCACCGCAAACTCCGCCTCCTGGGTTCAGGCAATTCTCCTGCCTCAGCCTCCTGAGTAGCTGGGATTACAGGCATGCGCCACCATGCCCAGCTACATTTTGATCATTTCTTATGACACTAAACACTCTTACCATATGATCCACCAATGGAACCCTTTGGTATTTGCCCAACAGGATTGAAAATTAGATCCACAAAAAGAAATCAGCACGCATGCATTTACAGAAGATTGATTCATAATCGTCAAAATTTGGATGCAAGCAAGATGCCCTTGAATAGGTGGATGGATACATAAACTCTGGTATATCCAATAATGTCATATATTCAGTACTAAAAAGAAATGACCAACGAAGCTGTAAACAGATATTTAAAAAACCTTAAATGCATATTACTGTGTGAAAGAGGCCAATTTGGAAAAGCTACATACTGCCTAATTACATTTATATGACATTCTGAAAAAGACAAAAGTATGGAGACTGAAAGGATGAGTGGTTGCCTGGGAAGGGAGTAGGGAGGAATGAGTAGGTGGAGCCCAGAGGATTCTTAAGGCAGTGAAACTCTTCTGCATGATACCATAAGTTATTATGTATTTCTCAAAACCCATGAAATACATAACAAGAGTGCACCCTGATGTAAACTATGGAGTTTGAGTGATAATGATGTGTCAGTGTTCGTTCAATGCTTGTAACTAACGTAGCACCCTGGTGTAAGGTATTGATAGTGGGGGAAGCTCTGAGTGTGTGGCAGGGGGAGAATACAGGAGAGCTGTCTGTACTTTCTATTCAGTTTTGCTGTGAAGATAAAACTTTAAAAAATCATTTTTTTAAAAAAAGAAAGGACAGAGAAGGTACTTTTCTTTATTGAACATTTTGAGCCAGACACAATTTGATGAGGGGACTTTAAATCATTGCTTTGTTTAAAAGAATCCTCTCTCCCCAAGTTAAATCTGTGATTAAAGTAGTTGAACTGTGTTTTTTAAAAGAACAATTTGTGTTTTAATAATAACAAGACAGAAAATGTGCACTGAATAAATGTGCAATTAAAAATCAACCTGTGCATGATATGGAAGATTTTTTTAACTGTCACATATAAACTATGCTAAAGTTTTAGGATACCACAACCTCTGCACTTAAAATGAGAAAGTCGTTATAAGTGAGGAATATTAGAATGCCACAAATGATATCTAAATTACAAAAATTCATTGAAAAATTTTATCGCACACTAACCATGATCTATGCCCAAAATGGTGATCCACAAACAAAATCGAGTTTACATATTCATTAATTTATGTATTTATATTTTACACTAGATGTAATATTTTAAACTTGATTTAAATTCTTTACAATGGAGATATTCTGAAGCTCATCAATAATCATTTCACTTTCCATTTTCTTCCTCCTTCCATCCTGCCTCATACATGAGCAAATCTCCTGGCATTTGAAAGCACTTGAATGACAACTTCCCCCTGATCAAATCTTCTTTATAAGAATCATGTTTTAAACTATTGAAAAGTTAATGTTCTAGCAAACCATTGGTAACCAAAATCAACTAAAAATAAAAGCAATTAAAACTTCAGTAAGCTACATCAATAAAAGTGATGGAGAATGAAACTCCAAAATTTTGTTACTCCACAAAATGAGTAAAGAAACTGGGAAAAACTTTCAGAATTGACTATACCAGAACTCTTCAGATTCATAGAAGTTTCCACCAACAAGGTGATTTCTTAATCAAGATGGAGAAAATAATCTGAATAAGAGAGTTTTGTATTGTCTTAACTTACTCTGACCCAAAACTGCTTGCGAGCTCAGAAGTAGTTTTGAAGACAAGAGCTCATTTCTAGTATACTTTTCTAATCCCAAATAAAGCAAAACAGACTATATTCTAAAGAATTGTAATTGTTTCTCTTGATCTGTCTGGGAACTCTTCAAAGGACCTGTCTTTATCCCACTTGGACCTCTGCTAGTGATGAAGCAGCTAGTGAGAGAGTATTTGTCAAATATATTTAAAAGAAAGTGTATCAGCTATTGCTACCTGCAGAAAGGGACAAAAGTTGAAGCAAAAATAGACAAACCAAAAGCTTGGAATGAAAGACTTGAGGATGAGATGATTTGAGGGGAAATATATATATATATATATATATATATATATATATATATATATATATACACACACACACACATATATATACATATATACACATATATATACATATACATATATATACATATATACACATATATATACATATACATATATATACATATATACACGTATACACACACACATATATTTTTTTTTTTTTGTGTGTGTGTGTGTGTATGTGTGTGTGTGTAAATTTTCTATATATCCTGAGAATCTAAAAGGCCATGACATGGCATTGGCTGGGTGCATGCTCAGAAAAATCTTACAAAGCCCTAAGATTTCTCCTCTGTTAAACCTTCAGATTCTGCACAAGAAAGAAAAGAAGGCTAAAACAAAATTATAGACTGCTTGTCTGAGAGTTGAAAGCATGTCTCAACTTACCCACAGAGCCTGTATACAAAAACTAGAAGATTTTGTGTGGTTCTGAGCATTTTAGAAAACCTCTGTTGAATCACTTCCTGACCACTAGGCTAATGAACATAGATTTTAGTGGCCACATACAACATATAATACAAACTATAAAAGTTTAGTTCAAAAAAGTTATCAATGCCTGGGTGTGGTGGCTCATGCCTGTATTTCCAGTATTTTGGGAGGCTGAGGCAGGCATATCACTTGAGGTCAGGAGTTTGAGACCAACATGGCCAATGTGGTAAAACCCAGCCTCTACTGGAAATACAAAAATTAGTCGGGTGTGATGACACATGCCTGTAATCCAAGCTATTCAGGAGGCTTAGGCAAGAGAATTGCTTGACCTGGGATGCTGAGGTTTCAGTGAGCTGAGATTGTGCCACTCTATTCCAACCCTCCAGCCTGGGCAACAGAGCAAGACTCCAACTCAGAAAAAGGAAAAAGTCACCAATGAACAAGAACACAACAAACAGCAACCACAAACCCTGAAGGGGGAAAAGAATCTGATTTCCAAAGTTGCCAAATTATAGTGTTTAAAAGGTCCAGTTATGAAGCCAAAATATGAGGTATAAAAATAAAATGTACTACCCACACACAATTAGGTAAGAGTTTAAGTGAGCTACGTTAATTATGTTCAGTAAGCTCAAGGAACATGCACAAAGAACTAAAGAAAACCATTAGAATGTCATTTAATGAAGCAGAATACTATAGTTTGGTTCTGTCTCTAGCCAAATCTCATTTTGAATTGTACTCCCCATTATTGTCATGTGTTGTGGGAGGGACACAGTGGGAGGCAATTGAATTATGGGGTGAGATCCCCCCTGCTGTTCTGTGATAGTGAGTTCTCACAAGATCTGATGGTTTTGCAAGTGTTCGGCATTTCCCCCGTGAGCACTTTTCTCTCCTGCCACCATATGAAAAAGGATTTGCTTTCTTCTCCTTCTGTCATGACCATAAGTTTCCTGAGGACTCTCCACCCAAGCAGTACTGAGGCAATTAGATCTCTTTCCTTTATAAATTACCCAGTCTCAGGCTGTTCTCTATAGCAGTGTGAGAATGGAATAATATATAGAGAATATTAATAAAGATTTTATAAGTAGAAATTATAGAAAGAAACCTAATAAAAGTAGAAGCAAATAGAAATTGGGTAATTAAAAGTAACATAACCAAATGAAGACTTTAATCAAGGGATTCAACAACATATTTGAGGAAGTGAAAGTATGAATCAGCTTGGAAATACGTTAATTGTGAATATCTGCCTGAGGAACAGAAACAACAAAAAAATAAAAACATGGACTAAGAGACCTGTTGGACACCCCATCATGTGTAAAAACATGCATATAATTGAAGTAGCACAGGAGGAGAGATAGAGAAAAAAATAAAGCAGAAAGACTATTTGAAGAAATAATGCCTGAAAACTTCCCTTGTGAAGACATGAATGTGAGAAGCTAAGTGCATCTTAAGTAGAAAAAGCACAAAATGATCTACACCAAGACACATGATCATCAAGTTATTGGAAGTCAAAGACAAAGAATCCAGAAAGAATTAGAGAGGAGCAACTCCACAAGTTGGAGTAATCCTGGGTAACATTCATAGCTCATATCTGATCAAAAGCAATGAATACCAGAAGGTTATGGGATGATATACCTATAAGGTTGAATCCCAGAACAGACCAATAAGGAGTTCCAAAATTGAATCAATAATAAAAAGCCTACAAACCAGAAATAGCCCAGGACCAGAAGAATTCATAGTCAAATTCTACCAGGTGTATAAGGAAGAGCTGGTACCATTCCTACTGAAACTTTTCCAAAAAATTGAGTGATTTGTCCCTAACTCACTTTATGAGACCGGGATCATCCAGATATCAAAATCTGGCACACACAACAAAAACCAAAAACTTCAGATCAGTATCCTTGATTAACATAGATGCAAAAATTATCAATAATATAGTAACAAATTAAATCCAGCAGCATATCAAAAAGCTAATCCACTACAACCAAGTATGTTTTATCTTTCGAGTGCAAGGTTGATTAAGCACACATGCAAATTAGTAAATGTCATTTACCACATAAACAGAAATAAAAACAAAAGCCACAAGATAATTTCAATAGATTCAGAAAAGGCTTTCAACAAAATTAA